CCAGCACCAAGACCAGCTGTCACTTCCCTCCTAGAAACAATAAACACTTATTATTTATCGTCAGTCTGTTGTGTTGTGATCTTGGTCCAAACCCTCACGAGAGTTCCTTACACATTGCCTGTTCATTTATTTGCTTCTATCTGTGTGATATTTAAGCTTTATCCATGACCCGTTCTGTTCTTAGTGTTCTAACATAATAATTCTTACTGTTTTCATGGAATTTCGTTTTAAACTCACATCTGTCTGTATGCAATTACAGTGTGAGATATTTATTATCAGTCACAAGTTTGTGACTGCTGTTTTTATTGTAACTAATCAGTTCATGACTACTGTTACCAATCAGTTCATTTGATTACTAATCAGTTCATTTGTTATTATTCAGTTCATACTGAAGAGCTGTTGACCTGCTCTGCTCACTGTTACACGGTTATACTTTGTAACCTCTGTTCTTTTCCATTCTCCGCAGCAGGAGTGCTTTTCAGCCTTCCCATTTTTCTCGTCGGAAACCTTTTCTCTTGGGGGGTGCTCCTGTGCATGGAACATGTAATTATGCAGCGCGCTCCTGTTGCGTAATTACGCACACAGAAGGCCGAGTGTTGAAATATTTTTTGTTGCAAGCGGGCGCTTCACATTGTGTCTGAATGGATCCAGTAAGGCATAGACTACATCCTGCTTCGCCTTTAACCCACTAGCAATAGCCTTAAAGGGCGAAGCCTATATGAAATAGAACGTTGGTTATGTACTGTAACCCCAGATTCTGAGTATAGGCGCAGCTCTGGGCCTCACTGGGTCCTAAATGGCTGAAGAAAAAAGCTATTTGGGAGCCGATTACCCGGTCTCACCGTAATTTATACGGACCGGGGGTGAGGCCCACACAGCAGGTGGGCGTGGACGAAAGTTTTCAGTGCTACGCTGCGCACGATGGGATAAACCCACTAGTGATAGCCTTACAGGGCTGCATCCATACTCATAGAATCTCGGGTTACAGTACATAACCAACGATTGTATGCCTGGATTATTGAGCATGGACTATTTTGGTTTTGAACCAGTTTGACATGACAGTCTATGAGGAAGATGGCCGGCATCGGAGGAGGGGGCGTGCCAAAGACACCATCTTAGCACCAACAAAACTGGTTTGTTCCACTTTGGAGTAAGCTGTTTGGGGGAACAATCAGTTTAGTGTTGTGGGTTTCCTTGACAGATGAAAACTTCTGGATGGAAGATGAAACGTTGCAGCAAAAAAAAGAAACTGTCCAGATGACCTGACTGAAAATTGTGGGACTTAAGTACAGTGTTTGAGTACTTTCTTCACTACTGGCAAACAGTAAGATTTTCTGTCAAGTCCGTTATTTATTATTAAAGAAGTAATCATCCTGTTCTGAGTCAAACAACTAAATATGATCAAACTAGTGTCCTAATGCTGTTTAATCTATTATTAATAAAGTAATGCTGTTTCTTCTATTATTAATAATGTAACGCTGTTTATTATATTATTGATAAAATAAAGATGTTTATTCATTTATTAATAAGTAACGCTATTTGTTCCATTATTAATAAAGTAATGCTGTTTATTCTATTATTACCAAAGTAATGCTGTTTATTCTATTGTTAATAAAGTAACGATGTTTATTATATTATTAATAAAGTAACACTGTTTATTCTATTATTAATAAAGTAATGCTGTTTATTATATTATTAATAAAGTAATGCTGTTTATTTTATTATTAATAAATAACACTGTTTATTCTAATATTAATACAGTAACACTGTTTATTCTAATAATAATAAAGTAACATTGTTTATTCCAAATTTTTATAAAGTAACGCTGTTTATTCTAATATTAATAAAGTAAAGCTGAATATTGAAATTATTGACAGGATCATTTCCAACACTGCAACATTGCACAACACTTCCAGAATACAAACTAATAAATCAATTAATTACTTCCTCTTTCCACCTTCATTTTTCCTCAAATAGGTTCGTGCGTAAAAGCTGTGCACTCGGGTTTTCCTTTCACGGCGCGCACGTCTATTTTTATATGAGGACATTGGAGTTATCCACTCACCAGCCCACTGGAAGTCTACATCCCACACGGACCACATGTGCACGGTGAAGAAGGGCGCCCAGCAGAGCGTGTAGAGCAGGACGATGACGCAGGTCATCTTGACGCTCCGCAGCTTGGCTCTGGAGATGCTCGTGACGCTGCTCACAGAGTTGTGGCTCGCAGCTCCCGCCGTCCTCTTCCTCCTCTTGTACTTGATGTTTTTCCAGATGCTGTGGCAGATGAAGCCGTAGCACGTCGCGAGGATGACCAATGGCACGAGAAAGATGCCCACGGTGATCCAGGTGATGTACGCGCGGGCGCCCCAGGGCTCGATGAAGTGCGCCCAGCAGTCGTGCACGTCCGAGCCGTTCTTGATCTCGCTCAGGGAGAAGATGAAATACTGCGGGGAGCTTAGCACCAGGCTGCCCATCCACGTGGACACGATCATGATGTGGGCGCGCTTCGTGGGCTGCTGGAGAGTTTTCAGTGGGTGGCAGATGGCGATGTAGCGGTCCAGGGTCATCATCACCATCATGTAGGTGGAGGCGAACATTCCCATCACCTGGAGGTGCTTGACGATCCTGCAGAGGAAGTCCGGCCCGTAGAAGCGGAACGTGACCTCCCAGCAGAGCTGCGGCAGCACCTGGAAGAAGGCGACCACCAGGTCCGCCAGGCTCAGGTGCTTCATGAACACGTGCATCCGCGACGTCTTCTTCGTGGTGTACATGGCCAGCAGCACGCTCACGTTCCCGACCACCGCCACCACGAAGGTGATACTCAGCACCAGAATCTCGATCTGGGCCACCTCCTCGTTTCTGGCGAACGGGTCTGATCCGTTCGGGTGCGCAGTGGTGTTTGTGGGGGTCTCCATCTGAGGGAGACTGGAGACCCGTGTGGGGATCTGTGCGCTCAGGAGCAGTGAGTCTGCAGGAGGGCGCATGACACTGCTCCTCTGCGCGCCCTAGCTGCACCAGCGCCAGAGGGGCTGCGCACTGCCGGTCCGCGCGCACTCTGGATTTGGACGAGAGCAAGGTTTCCGACTCCGGGAGGGTTTTCCTTCCTGCAGTGATCCACATGGAACCACCTGATGCTTCAGGGTGGGGGACGCGCTACTTTTTGACTCTTGGCTGCTGGGCGGCTTCTTAAAGCCGAGTCAGAGCGAGACACGCATGCGCCTCAAGACGCGCACATAAACTCTGTGAGAAATTAAAAAGGCAATTTTCCTTAAAACACAAAAACAGTGAGCAAGTTAAACTTATTAATTTCAGTTTTATCTTTTACTTTGAACATTGATGACAAGTCTGCGCAGCCTCCAGTTCATATTTGAACTAAAGGGATAGATTCCCTCCACTAAATGTTAGACTTCTGTGGGTTCATTACCGCTACCATTAACATCTGTAATGTGCTGAGATAAAAACAAAGTGCTGTCCATTTCTCTTATTCAAGCCACAAAACAAATTATTTTTAGATTTATGGTTTCTCATGACGTCACATAAATGCTTTTGTTTTTAGTGATAAGCAGCAGACTTTAAAAATTGTTTCTCTGTGAAAACACTTGTGTGCACTGAACATTCTCCACAAATTAGGCACCAAAATCTTTTCAACACATTTTTTTTCATCTAACTGTTTTGAGGATGAAGCTACATGTAACTTGTAGAGTGAACGCTTCTCAATGTTTGTGCATTGTGTTCCATATGGATCTATTGTGCAACAGATCTATTTCAATCTCTTTATAAAATCTAATTTAAAGTGATCACACACACAAATGTTTGGGCTAATAAAAAACTAACTTTGTCAAGTAATTTGTGCCAGACTATTTTAAAGGGAATACAAGGATTTATATATTTATTTAATACAACTTCAAAATGTTTTTCCTTTTAATTTGATTTAAGGGCAGCACAGTGGCCAACTGGTAGAGCTGCTGCCTCTCAGCGCACAGGTCCCTGGTTCAAATCCCGATCTGGGGGCCTTTCTGAGTGGAGTTTGTATGTTCTCTTCGTGCATGCGTGGGTTCTCTTCGAGTACTCCAGTTTCCTCCCACAGACCAAAAACATGCATGTTAGACTGATTGGTAACTCTAAATTGTACATAGGTGTAAGTGAGAGAGTGAATGGTTGTTTGTCTCTATGTGTCCCTGTGATGGACTTGTGACCTGTCCAGGGTGTACCCCGCCACTCGCACAATGATTGTCGGACATGGGCACTGGCAACCCCTGTGACCCAAAATGGAAAAAGCGGGTAAAATATGATGGATGAATTTGATTTAATTCAATTCAGTTTATTTAAACAGCGTCCTGTCACAACAAAATTGTTGCAGGACATTGTACAGGAACATTCACATAAAAGCCAATTAGTAAAGTTCTCTATCTAAGGAATCCAGCAGACAAGTTGAATCTTGGCTTCGTTACAGTCTCCCATCCTGAGCAAGCACAGTGGCAACAGTGGAAAGAAAAAACTCCCTTTTAAAAGGAAGAAACCTCCAGCAGAACCAGGCTCAGGACAAGCAGCCAGGTGTACGTGCGAAAATAAAATAAAATAAAAAAATAAATAAAATAAAACTATATATACAGTGCCTTGAGAAAGTATCCAGCCCCCTGGAACTTTTCAACCTTTTGCCACATTTCAGGCTTCAAACATAAAGATGTAAGATTTTACTTTTTTCTGAAGAATCAACAACAAGTGGGACACAATCGTGAAGTGGAATGAAATTTATTGGATGTGCCAAACTTTTCTAACAAATAAAAACTGAAAAGTGGGGCGTGCAATATTATTCGGCCCCCTTGTGTTAATACTTTGTAGCTCCGCCTTTTGCTGCAGTTCCAGCTTCAAGTCTCTTGGGGTTTCTCTCTGTCAGTTTTGCACATGGAAAGACTGAAGTTCTGCCCATTCTTCCTGCAAAACAGCTCGAGCTCAGTGAGGTTGGATGGAGAGCGTTTGTGAACAGCAGTCTTCAGCTCTTTCCACAGATTCTCGATTGGATTCAGGTCTGGACTTTGACTTGGCCATTCCAACACCTGGATATGTTTATTTGTGAACCATTCCATTGTAGATGTGTCTTTATGTTTTGGATCATTGTCTTGTTGGAAGATAAATCTCCGTCCCAGTCTCAGGTCTCTTGCAGACTCAAACTGGTTTTCTTCCAGAATGGTCCTGTATTTGGCCCCATCCATCTTCCCATCAATTCTGACCATCTTCCCTGTCCCTGCTGACAAAAATCAAGCCCAAACCATGATGCTGCCACCACCATGTTTGACAGTGGGAATGGTGTGTTCAGGGTGATGAGCTGTGTTGCTTTTACGCCAAGCCTATCGTTTTGCATTGTGGCTAAACAGTTGGATTTTGGTTTCATCTGACCAGAGCACCTTCTTCCACATGTTTGGTGTCTCCCAGGTGCTGTGGCAAACTTTAAACGACACTTTTTATGGATATCTTTGAGAAATGGCTTTCTTCTTGCCACTCTTCCATAAAGGCCAGATTTGTGCAGTGTACGACTGATTGTTGTCCTATGGACAGACTCTCCCACCTCAGCTGTAGATCTCTGCAGTTCATCCAGAGTGATCATGGGCCTCTTGGCTGCATCTCTGATCAGTCTTCTCCTTGTTCCAGATGAAAGTTCAGAGGGACGGCCGGGTCTTGGTAGATTTGCAGTGGTCTGATACTCCTTCCATTTCAATATAATTGCTTGCACAGTGCTCCTTGGGATGTTTAAAGCTTGGGAAATCTTTTTGTATCCAAATCTGGCTTTAAACTTCTCCGCAACAGTATCTCAGACCTGCCTGGTGTGTTCCTTGGTCTTCATGATGCTCTCTGCACTTTGAACAGAACCCTGAGACTATCACAGAGCAGGTGCATTTATACAGAGACTTGATTACACACAGGTGGATTCTATTTATCATCATCAGTCATTTGGGACAACATTGGATCATTCATAGATCCTCACTGAACTTCTGGAGTGAGTTTGCTGCACTGAAAGTAAAGGGGCCCAATAATATTGCACGCCCCACTTTTCAGTTTTTTATTTGTTAAAAAAGTTCGACACATCCAATAAATTTAATTCCACTTCACGATTGTGTCCCACTTGTTGTTGATTCTTCACAAAAAATTGAAATTTTATATCTTTATGTTTGAAGCCTGAAATGTGGCAAAAGGTTGAAAAGTTCAAGGGGGCTGAATACTTTCGCAAGGCACTGTGT